ATTAATAATTATTAATTTTAAAAATTTAAAAATACTATCATTAGATAGATCTGAATATGACAAATCTAATAAACTTTATTTTATCTTTTTATAATCATTAGATATTAAAATATTATAATTTTTCTTTAATATTTTATAGCCAATTTATATTTACGCTTTAAGGGATATAAAAAGTTTATAATTTTAATTTTAAAATTATTATAGACTTATTTTGAATAAAATAGGCAGATAAACTCAGACTAGAGCTTTAAATAGGTTAATTCAAATTAGATCAATCAAGTTATCTAAACTAAGAGGATCAGATCAGGTCAAACAAAAATTTAATCTAATTTTAATTTTCATTTAACCTAATCTAATTGAATTGTTTAAAAAGAATAATTAGCTATTATTCAAAAAGAATGATAACAAATCATTTTAATTAAATAATAAAATATTATTTACAAATAATAAAAATATCATTTAAGAATAATAAAACTATTATTTAAAATTATCATTTAAAAATTATTGGTTAATTTGAATTTTATCAGATCAGATCAGGTTAAGTTAACCTATTAATTTGATCTGATATTAACCTGAAAATCTACTGACTTGCTTTAAATTTTTAGATCAGGTCAAATCAGATAAATAGGTTAACTTGATCAGATTCAAAACTCTAATGAAAGATTTACTATTAAAATTAAGTTATAAATATAATAAATTATATAATTTGTAATGTGATTTTAATAGCTTATCTTTCATATTATTTATTTTAATAATATAGTAAAAATTTTTTAATTTTTTAATTTTTTTATAAAAAGTAAAAATTATAATAAATAAAAGAAGTAAGATAATTTATTATAAATATAAATAATATTTATATTTAAATAAAAATTTATTAAAAGTATTAAATTAATAATTTAAAATTAAATAATACTATATTCCTTTAAAAATAAGTAACACATTTTACTATATTATTGCTTATTTTTAGATATTTTAACCAACTTATTTAAATACTATTAAATGATTTAAAATTTTACTAATTTTTGTTCATAAACTCTGTGATAATTAATGATATTAATTATTAGTATTATATAAATTATGAAAAAAGATTTTATTTAACTAAGTATAAATATTACATTTTATAAAAAAAGAATTGTTAAATATAAAGTTATAAAAGTTAATAAATGTATAAATCTTCATATTCTATAAAATAGAAATATAAGTCATTATTTATATAAAAGAATATAGATATATTAAAGTAATAGAATATTTTGATATTAATATATTATAGTAGGATATTAAATAGCTATAAGTTCAAATTGAACAACTAAAATAAAAGAAAAAATAAGAAGTTTAGCTTTAGATAAAGAGCCTTTTATTTTGAAGTTAAAAAAAATTTTATAAATAGATTATAGAATAAAAAAAAAAAGTTTTTACAGTTATCTATGCAATAAAATAAAGTAAAATACTAGAAATTTAAAAGAACTAAATATAAAAGTTCTTTATGATAAGTCAAAATTTAAAATATTTTATCACTGGTTAACTACTTTTATAAAAAGATATAGGTTAACATTATAAAGATAAATTAGAATATTTAAAAATCTTTTTAATTAAACCAAAAAGTCATTAAAAATATTTCATTAATTTATTACTATCTAAGAATCAAAAAGTTATTTGAATTAAAGAATATTTATAATATAAATAAAATACCTGTTTAGTTTAATATAGCTAGTAATTTTATTATCAATTTAAAGGCGAAAAACAGTTTATATTTATGTAATAAACAATGAAAAAATAAGTTTATAGTTATATTTACATATGCTACAAGTAAGCTTTTCTTTTTTTATAAAATTAAAAATTACTTACTAAAATTATTAATTTATTTTATAGATAGAATCAAATTTTCTCTAATATGTATTTTTAAAGGAAAGCAAATACTATATAAAGAATAAATTTTTTCTGGTATTATTAATTAATTTTAAAAATAGCTAAATGAATTCTGATTTAATAGTAAAATATACATATAGATTATTTCAACAATATAAGAATAACAATAAGTCTTAAGAAAATTTAGCAATACTTTTATATAATTTATTTAAAGGTTATTTAAAATATTTAGTAAAAAGAAAGTTTCATAAAATTGGCTTTGATCTTGCAGTAATTTTAGATAAATTAATTAACATTTTTTAGTTACTGGATATTGCAATAAATAAACTATTCAAGAATAACTTTCATAAAGAATGATATATTTAGATGGCTAATAGTGATACTAGAGAAACTACTAAGAGAAATCTTTACTACACTAGATTTAATAATATATATTCATAGATTAAAAAGTTTTAAAAAGAATTTCTAATAAAATTATTATAGAATTCTTTAAACTTGTGAAATATTGATCAATTTGAATTTTTGATTTAGAGATCCTTGATTAAGACAATATTAATAATAGTAATGATAATAATAATAATATTATTATTAATGATAATATTAAAGATAATATTGAAGATAATATCAAAGATCATGTTTAATATGATTTGTATATTGAAATATTAAAAATAAAATTTTTCTGAAATTAAAAATTTTATATATGTAATTTTATAAAATTTATTTATTTGGAATTGCTTATTTTTAGGACTGCTTATTTTTAGAGGGATACAGTATATATTATAAATTCTATTTATTAAATTAATTATAAAATTAATTTATTAATTTTATTTTTTATTAATATTTTTAAAAAAAAAATTGTGTAAATTTAATATGTGAAAAATTTACTTTTGTGTTACTTGTTTAATGCCCATGTGATTATCAAATGAGTGGCGGGAAAAAAAAGAATATTTAGAATTTTCAAACTGGAAAATTTTATTCTTTATAAATAAATGGATTCATTGAAGTTTTTAAGACATATCTCATTAATAATTTCGACAATATTTAAATATTTTACAAGCGGACCCCCACAACCATCATGGAATTTAAAACTTTATTTATCAATAGAATTACTTCGATCACTTTTTTGTTCGTATTCTGGAACAATTGAAGAGTTACAACAGAGTAATAGAAATGAGGACATCCCCTCTCATGTTAAAATTGATAAAGTAATTATTTCACATGAATATAGAATTAATGCTCAGGCATACATTGAAAGACTTGTAAAACCTTACGAAGTTGCTATTGATCCGATTTGGAAATCTCCCAGAAATAATGGAATAAATGGTGAATTAATTATGAATAAAGATTGGAATTTTAATAATGAAGAAGGTAGTTGGGAAAAAGAAAAAATTGTCATATTCTTACATGGTGGAGGTTACTGTTGTGGAAATATTGATTCTAGTCGTGAAATCCTTTGCGAGATATCGAAAATATCTGGCGCTCGTATATTAGCAATTGAATATCGACTGGCACCACAACAACCCTTTCCCGCAGCGTTATGTGATGCTCTAGCAGCTTACTTATATCTAAAAAATCCACCCAATGATACTAGATTTAAACCGTATAAGCCAGAACAGATAGTCTTGCTTGGGAGTAGCGCTGGGGGCGGATTATCACTATCATTAGGATTAGCATTACGCGACTTGGGATTATCACTACCAGCTGGTATAGCTTTATGGGTAAGCTTTTTATCTACAAGACAATCTTTTTTAATAAATAATTTTTTTTTTTAGATTCCTTTTTTTTTTTCATAAATTCTAGAGTCCATGGGTAGACCAAACACATAGTATGCCATCATATTCTGATCAAATGTTGGATGAGATAGATTATGTACCACGAAGACTGGGAAACGTATTTGCAAATAGACCTTCAATTGCGTTAAGTGAATTTAAACAGAGAGCAGAAACCATTACAAGAAAGATCCAACAATCCGAAATCAAACTAATTGGTGATGAGTCTTTAAAGAGAATTGGACAGCCCATTAACCTGTATGTGGTAAATGAAGGGCTTGCTATCCCATATGTTAGTCCTGTTTTAGCTGAATCTCTTGGTGGTTTACCTCCGATGTTAATTGTAAGTTCATAAAGTGAGCTTTTTTATACGAACCAAAAGGAATTTTGTATTAATCTTTTTCTTTAGGAAACGGGAAATGTAGAGCGATATCGTGATGAAGCAATTTACCTTTCTTATCGAGCTTCTAATCCAGAAAAATATCGTTTACCAGCTTACGAAACTGACTTTGATAATTCGCATTTTAAATCTCAGACCGAAGTTACACTTGAAGTATTTGATGAAATGTTTCACGCATTTCAGGTATGAGTCGCGTCATTATGATACTTGTTGCCTTCCTTTTTTTTTAAAAAAAAAAAAAGAATAGGATGAGGATTACTTACCTAAATTTTTTTTCCGAATTTAAAGGCTTTTAAATATTGTGAACCAGCGAAAGTGTCAATTAACAGAACTTGTAACTTTATTTCCCGTGTAACACGAGAAGCAATTTTAGCCAATCCTCTTCCACTTAGGTTCAGTGTTTTAAGAATAAGTTATGATGGGGAAGTCCGGCCTTTAAATGAATCAAGCATTAATCATATCTTGAGATGGGATCAAGTTGGAGTATATCCAGGTGTTTAATGGGTAAAGCATTCAACATAATAAATCATTCCATATTTGAGTAGCTAAAAAATGATTCACACACGTGATAAGATTGAAATTATTATAAGATTTCGCGAAATATAAAAGGGAAAAAAAAAATAATAACCGGGAATGATTTATAGTATTTATTTACTTTTCGCGGAAAACGGATTTTATTTTCCTTTTTTCGCAGAGAACGGACGGATTTATATTCCAATTTGGATAATCGGCCCGATAATCTGCGTAATTCAATTCATAATTCGTTATGATCCTAAAAATGAGTATGGTCTCCTTTTGGTAATTTAAATAATAGAACGCGAAAAACAAACATGTAAACCAGTATGCACATATCTGTTATTTATTTACAAATTTGACAAATTGAAAAAAAAAACGCCTCGAATTCAAATTTGGTATTTGTATTATTATTTTGTAAAGTAAAGTTGACAATGAACCCCAATTCCCCAATACTATTTCATTATATTCTAAACATGTTTAATATCACAATAGAGCATTTCGGGAGGATTCCTGAAAAAAAAAAATAAACAAAACGGATAATAGCATAAAAAAAAAAAACAAAAAACCAGAATACTGTTCAGCCAAAAAAAATAAACAATTTTTTTTAAAATGAGAAAAAGAAGAACCAATGTATGATTTGTATGAATTAATGAATTTTATTATATAGTACATTTAAAATGCAAAAGATATATATATTATAGATGATAAAGTGGGAAATCTTTTTTTTTTTTCTTTCTTTGAAATGGTTATAATATATGATGAGATTGAGATGAAGATACTTTTTTTTTAAAGGATGAAGTGATAAATAGGTCCCGAAAAAAAGAAGTACGGAGTTGTGAGAAAAATAGGATAAATAAGTATAGATTAAAAAAAAAAAAAAGAATAAAAGAATTAAAGAATGTTTAAGAAGTTAACTTATAGTGCATAATCTAATATATATATATATATATATAAATGTTATTGTTAAAAATCCAATGTCTGTCCTGTTTGGACAAGAAAACAATGAAGCACTTTCGGGTTCTTTTATGCAAAGAGCAACATTAAGAATTTCTTTGCAAAAAAGGGAAATTACTAAAAAATATTTGATACGAAAATTGCTGATTAAAAATAATTTTTCGTGTAATTAATTAATAGAATTTTTTTTTCTTTTTTTCTTAAAAAAAAAAAAAAAAAATAATATAAAAAAAAAATAACGTAATAAAATTCTCCCTTAAAAATATTTCTCTCAACCTCACCAAATCGACGAAATAAATAAATAATTTACAATTAAAAAAAAAAAAATACAAAAGGAAAAAAGGAATAACCTAATACTAAATATTGAATATATTATTATCATTACTTGTATATATAATATGTATGTATAATAAAAAAAAAAATTTTTTTTATTTTTTTTTTTAGAAAAAAAAAAATCAAGATCAAACGATTTATTCGTTATTTACTGATTGTGCCCATGATGGTGTGGATATCGCAGATGATGAATTAGTTGTAACTTTTTGCCCAAAAAATCTCCAAGTCTTGAAATATGTCTTGTGTTGCTCAACCTCCTTGGCAAAAGTTTGTATAATTTCATCATATTCATTAGCCTTTGTACCCATCACTATTGACATGGGTATCCTGACTGCATTCCACCCTTTCGTAATGTCATCAACAGCCTAAAGGGATAAATTTGTTAAGTATTATAATACGTAACGCTTTAAGAGAACGTTTTCATGCACGTGACACAAATTTTCCACATACCAGTTGACCTAATTCGCCGGCCCATTTTCCCACGAAACATGCTTTTTCTTCAACTTTAATCCCTGATACGAATTTATCGTTGGCTTCCATCGAGTCGGGAATATGGGAATTGATTGGTTGAAAGATTCCTTTAGCTTTCATGAACGTCATTACTGCGCCAGAAACAAACGCATGTTAGTTTTTTTTTTTTCGTAAACATCAAATAAACCAGAGAGAAATAATAGAATGAAAGAAACGTACAGGCATTCGTTAAACGCTGTGTTATTGGGCCATCATTGTAGTATTGAATATCACTTTCCATGAATTCTACCCATCCACCCTGTCGTGTGACTCGAACCAACTCTGGGATAACCTTTTCCTCCCATTCTTTAGACGAAAAGGCCGTCACCAAAAGTCTCATGTGAACGAAATCAAAGGTATCATCCAGGAATGGTAATCCGTCAAGTATATTGGCTTGGAGGAATTTTGCATTCTCAGGCTTCTTTTCCTGTGGGAATATGGGAGCAAAATCAACGCCCGTGAATAATGTCTTTGGATATGATTCAGCCATTTCGATTGTCCAAGTTCCTGGTCCACATCTGATAATAATTGAAAATGAAAGAATCTTTCGAATGAGAATACGTTTCCTCGACAGATTAAAAGAAAGAGTTCACTGGAAAGAATTCGCGATATTTACCCTACATCAAGTACTCTTGCGCCACCATCTTTTAATTTTTCTTCTATGGGTGCGGAATAATTATTCTGCCAAATTCGTTTAAACAATCGATGTTGTCTCTGTAACCTTTCTACCTCTTCATCGATGATAGGACCTATCAATTTTGCGCTTTTTAAATTGTGAATTCTTTTGCCACCGTGTGAAAATCTCCAACTTTCTAAGGAATTCACATCTGTTATACCAGATGAACGCCAAGAGCGAAACTTTTTTCGTTTTTCTGTTTTCAATAATACATCGGGTTTGTCTTTTATATTGCTTACAATGGTGGTAGAATTATGTTTTGATTGTTTGATACCCATATTTATTCTTTGTTATAACTGATTTTTTTTTGAATTGGTAAAGAAAGGATGTTTAAAAGAAAGAAAATTCTTGATTATTTTTGAAAAAAAATAAGTTATATATATATTATTTGAAAAAAAATATATATATGGAAAGAGTTGTAGATTTTTTTTTTTAGGAAAGGAGGGGACGGGCTGAAGAAATTTTTTTTTTTTTAGAAAAAAAAAATTAAAATATAAAATAAAAAAAAAAAATAAAATGAAAATGAAAAAAAAAAAAAAAAAAAAACGAGAAAAAAAAAAAGGAGTCAAAATGGGAAATAATAACAATAAGCCAATGAATAAAAAAAAAAATTTTTTTTTTCAATATAAATAAAAAAATTTCAAAGCAAGTCTAATGAGGATAGTTTTTTGTTTTTAATGATCATTACCTTATTTTCAATTCTAAGTCACAAGTTTGGGTACTAAATAAAAAAATATATATATATTTAATCCGTAGAAAAAAAAAGGTGATTCTTAAAGTAGTGATATTCAATATATAGCAAAAAAAATATTTAGTAAAACCTTGAGGCGCATATACACAAATATAAACAGTTTATTTTTTTTTTGCTTTCTTTGTAAATAATGATTTTCTTTATTGGTGAATAAAAAAGAACGAGCTGTCTCTTGTGTTGTTCAAATTCTTACTGGTGAAAAATTAGATTTGGATGTGATGTTGGTAAATTTTCTAGGTATAATGAAACCTCATATGGCCATATTTTTTTTTTCTTTTTTTTTTTGTTGATAAACAAAAAAAGGGCGCGATAAAAAAAAAATTATTTTTTTTTTTGTTCGGTGGTGCTATTTATCTATTTATGGTGATTATTGTTTACGGTTCTTTGTGTGACGAATGTGCTGCCATGGTATCGAAGTTTATTTCACACGTGTAATGCAGAAAAGTAACACATCTTTTATTTACAGTAAATTTTTATAAAGAAAAAAAATTTTTTAGATCCAGGATTTTATCATAATTCAAAGGCTTGGTTGGTTTTGATCTTCCCGTGAACGTGTCACATCCAAAAATGGAAATATTTCATCTCGCTACGATGTGAGAAAAAAAAAAATTAAAAAAAATTTTTTTTTTTGATTTATCTTTTTTTTCCTTGTGGCAAACAAACTCACCAGAGATAAGATCTTATGATAAACAGAAGATTGAAGATTGAAAGAGAAGAAACCTGTGTTTAAACTTGAAACACAATTTGATTTTCGGTTGACTTTTAATGGATGGATTGGATGGAAGCTTACATTGAAAATTTTCCATGTATGTCCATCAATGAATGCCATAAATTATTTGTTATACAAGTGAATTTATTTAATAAAGAAAAAAAATTTTTTTTGAGATTTTCTTTGCATTTGAAAATTGAAAAAAAAAAAATAGTTTTTAAGGAGTGATGTAATTGAGATGGTCGTCGGAGTTTATGATTCGGGATTTTTGTTGCACCAATGACACTTTCTACACATTCATGCCTATTATAGATGTACACCGTCGGCCGAACCTTTTAAAAATGTGAAAGTTAACTCTTTGATCATGACGGAGTTTGATAAAATAATACCTGAATTGTAAAAGAAACAACTTTTTGGAGCGGGTGATGAACGTTAATGTCTAAACTGATTTGGATGTTGTGATGCATGCTAGTGAAAATTTTTTTCTTTCTGCATATTTGTTGACCTAAAATTACATAACAAACAGTAACACCAAATTGAATCACACATTTTTACTTTAAAAAATATATGTGATTATGTGGCAATGGTTGCATCTTATTAAAGACAAGGATAACTTCTTTGGATAGAAGGAAAGAAGAAAAAGAAAGCAAGAAAGAAGAAAAAAAAAAAAAAATAGGTCATACGTTTCTAATAATACGAAAATATTCATAAACGAATTTTTCTCTATTGATAATTAATTAATCGTTAAAGGTCTAAACCACTACCGTAAAGAGAACACAATGTAATATTTGATATTTACCACGATTGCAGTATATTGCATTTAAATTTACGCTGTCGCAGATTTTTTTATTTTATTTTTTTTTTCCATTTTATTTTAGAATATGGTGAAAAACAGCCACATCAATTTAGGTTAGTCACGTGACGTTGTGACATGAGAAAAACAACAAATAAAATAAATAAATTACTCTCAATTAGGAAAATCCTAAAGTTAATAAAGGTTCTTTATTTGTTTACCCCTTCTTATTATTATAATAATTATTATCATTATCATAAGGGAAACCTCATCAATAATAATACCACAAATTTCTGAAATTAATGAATATTTTTAAATTATTCTGCTTAAACTGTTACAAGATGAACCAATCTATCAAAATATATTCACGTATTAAGAAAGCATTTGCATTCATTCATGTCAAATACCTTTGTTAAAACAACTAAATTACTAACAAAATGCATGCGAGAGAGCGTTCCAATGATAATTTAATTCTGTGAAAACAATTATATACCAATTATGTTGTAAACTATTAAAGGATATTTTTTCGCATTAAAATGTTTGTGCCGTGAAATTAATGCAGAATTAATGCATGCGAGGTTCAGATGATATCAAATGTGGACAAATAATGTTGTCTACATGTGATGCGGACGGTCCATAAAGTTAAATGGGATAATTATGGTTTAAAGTTATGTAAATTGTAACATGCGGTTAAGGTTAACGTTCTTATCTGCACATTTTTGAACTTTCTCATCCTTGATTCCTGCCCTTCATTCATGCCATAAAATGTGAATGAGCCATTCGTCTTTGTCCTTCTTGAGATAATCACAAGAAAGGAAATCATTAAACCTTAATCTTTCATTTACTCATATCAATCGTTATATCAAATATATATATATATATATAATGCATTTAAATAATGATATACTAAATATGTTCATTTGTAATTAAATAAAGTTCTTTGGTTCTTTTTTTTGAAGAAACAATTACGTAATTTATGTTACTTTGGTTCATTATTCCTATTTCAAGGAACGATCATCTTCTCAAAAGGAAAATGACTTAATTATTTATTGAAATTAAAAATTAAAGAGGGGTATTAGTTTCATAATTCCCAGAGTAGACTTCATAGAAATCTGTTAAAATGGGGATCATCCTTCTCTTGAGGCTTTTTTTTTTTGATTTTGGGAATTTATAAATATACCTTTTTTATTATTTTGGGGAGAAGGCTTACTAAAGATTCTCGTTTCTTGTGTTAGTTATCGTTAAAGGCTTTTCTTTAAAAAAAAAAAAAAAAAAAAAAAAAAAAAAAAAAATTTTTAATTGCATAGCCCAATCAAACTTTTTTTTATTCAAGCATTTATCCAGAAAAGATTAGCAAAAAAAAATTATTTTATTGACGATATTATAATTAGTAACTCATACAAACCGTTTTATATTACTACATATTGGCGCAGTAAGGGTTTTAAAATTTCACTAGTTTTCTTTTAAAGGAAAATTTGAAATCTTTGTATATGCACCCTGCATTAATAATAATTTACCCCCAAGAAACTTTGTTTTTTTTTTTTTTGATTTATCCCACCCCTTTAATTATTACAAAATAAGATAATTTTTTTTTACCGAAACTTTCTTTAAAGGTGTTGGTGTTTCGAAATTCTATTTGCATCTAAAAAGTCTTTGCATTACTAAAAAAATTTTTTTTTTTGTACGCTTGCGCGCAATTCCGTACATTTCCGCAATGAATGAAGATGAAAATCATTCATCGCCTTAATTCATTCCCACTTGTCACTTGTAACTTTCTACTATTGAGAAACGTCAATTCTCACATAATCGTTCCTGGTATCAAACTGATCCGTCGAATATTATTATATTAATGATAAAGACTTCAATATGTTCATGGGTTGGATAAATAGATTAAAAGTGATACACGATTAGATATGATGATAAATAGTATCGTTAGTGCAAAATTTTAGAGTCGATATACGTCTTTCATTTTTTCAATTCTTCATTGGATGGATGTTAAAGGTAAAACTCATTCAACGGTTTTGTCGATCCAAATGTTTACCACTCATACGTACCGATGAGTTACAGCAATCGATGTTCTTTCATACAATAAAGAATTTTAAGGTGATGATAAAAATACCATCCCGGTCCCATGAAAAACTTTGTTTTTCTAATCTGACCCAAATTTTCTAATTATATTTCAATTAATATACTGTAATTAATTAAATGCTAATAAAAATGTATTACAAAATTACGTAATAGAAATTTAATTTGCGTTGGAAGAATATGATTGGATTTGCAAATTAATTGTGCACAGATGAGAGTTGTGCACTTTTGTACGCTTGTTTTAAATTTAACCTTCGAAACGTTAAATATAAAATTATTTTACTTTAATTTGTATTGCATTTGTTGTGTAATCGCATGACAGCTTTAATGATTTTTTTAATTAATGGATTCTGCAATAAGGGATAAAGGACAAAGACATTACAAACAAGGCTCGTATATGAACCTGCCCTTTACCCGAATGAAATTAACCAATAAAACCATTGAACAGGGTTTCCATTTATTTGTGGCACGTTTTTTTAAATCTGACCAGAATTAATGAATTAAATGTTACACGTATTCTTCTTTGACAAAAACATTCCGCAAAATTTTTTGCAGCCACAACACGTAAATTGTGCGGATCAGGTGTCAAAACTCATCATAAACATTGAGCTTTTATTCTCCCAATTGAGAAAACCTTAATCCCGCACAGCCGCAATAAAATGGGCTAGGTCAATTGTTTTGAGATTTTTCTATCTACCTTTTTTTTTCCCGCGTACGTGGATCGAATCGGACAAGATTGCGGCAAATATGTTATTCCATGGATAAAGTTCAGAATTTTTTTTCTTTATAATTCTTTGATTTCTTTTTCACGATTTGCTGCCGTTCAAATAAATGAAAGTTATTCTGCATTTAATTTAGGATTTTTAATTTTTAATTTGTATTTTTATTTTTATATATATTTTTTTTTTTGTAGGCAAATAAATTACACTTTTTTTTTTTTGATCTACTTAATTCATATTTTATGCATATCTAATTTCATTTCTCTTTATTCTTAAAAAATTTTATAATACATTACTTTTATATTCATTAAATAGTTAGCCAACTTCAAATCCTAAAATTATTATATGGGCCGTTTGCTATTACGAGACATTGTAAATCATATGATTCATAACGTGAATTTAACTACAAGTTTTAATATATCTAATCTTTTTGTATAAATTTTTTAATATAATTAGATTTTCTATTTTTTTTATTATCCATTAAAAACTTATTATATAATAACTTTTAAATTACAGACTAATAATATATGATTAAATTTACTTGATTATATTATTAAATAAATACAGTCAACTCTTCTTGTGATGAATTTTGATATAATAAATAACATCAATATAGTGAATCTTTAACATGATACAGATTTTAACTTATATAAAAAATCTTATTATTAATTAACCAAATGTTAATTAAACAAAGCGAAATATAAATTAATATTTTTTATAACAGTTCTTTATATAACAAAGTTTTTCTTATATATTAAAGTTTTTCGTAAAAGAAAATTATTACTATAAATTACTATAAAAAACCATTTATTATAAAAGATTTATTAAATATGATAATCACATATTTTATAATATTAATAAATAGATATGTATTCATATTTATTCATTTTTACTAACTTTTTCTTAAAGTACTAAAAGCACAACTTAAATTTTAAAAAAATAATTTAATAAAAAATATCATAATATAAAAAAAATCTATTTAAAAAAAATATCAATTTTCTTAAAATAAAAAAACTAGTTAATGAATATGAATTTAATAAAAGATACTTAGTAATATTCTAAAAAAAATAATTATTAGTCTATTGTAAATCTTGATTTATATTAAGTAGTTTGTAACATAAAACATTTCTTTTTTTACTATTTAATTCTTTAAATAAAAAATATCATAATAAATTATTTTAAAGGATTTAAATATCAAAATAAATATTCTTTCTTTTTATGATTGTAATAGAATTTTTTTATTAATCTTATTTATTATTTAATTTTTCATAGTTATTTTAGGATTTTAAAATTAGACTTAATATTTTTAATGATTTATAAAATTTTGTATTATAAAATATTTTAACTTAAAATAGATTTATTTTCAAGTATATTTTTCTTTAAAAAATATATGACTATTCTATTGATTTTTACAAATCTAGTATATTAAAATTTAGATTACGTTATAATTAATATATATAAATTAAAAAATTTTTTTTATGTAAATATAATTACAAATAGTTTGAAAATAAAATTTTATTTAAAACATGTCTAAAGAAAATCAACTTTTTGATTTTGAGCAAAAAAAGATTATTGGATTTTAAAAAAAAAGTTATAGTAAAAGAAATATTAAAATTATTCTTCATTATCTTAAGTCAACTATTTATAATATAATAACTAATTATAAATAAAAACTAAACTACAGCTATTTTACAACTAGATAAACTATTAAAATTAATAGAACAAAATGTTAGACATTTTATAAAAATTATTAAATAAAACTATTCAATAGTTTTAAATAAAATAACTATATATATCATGGTAAATGTTTTATTAAATACTTAATATATAGTTTTTAATATATAATATACAATATATAATTAATTACATAATTAATTATAAGCTGATAATTATTTACAAATAAAATTAATTATTATCTAATAATTAATTATAAGAAATTAATTAATTTAAAAAAACAAATATTAACTTATTTTATAAATCTAATTTTAGAACTTCAAATCATATATAGTAATATATTAAATTTATCATTTAAATAACATTTATTTAAAAAATATAAAAAATTTTTTTAAATATGATAGTTTTACATTATCTTTATTAAATTTAAAGTAATTATAATATAAGTAAAATAAAATATAAATTTAAGAAAATACAAAAATCTCTATTTAATATAAAATTAAATTAAGACTGATCTTATTCCTTTCAAAATCTATTTTCTAACTTAAGTTAAAATATCTACTTTTAAATAAAATAAAAAGAAAGAATTTAGTCACTATAACACTAAAAATTCATCTAATAGGATCTATATTAAACTATCTTGTTGAAAAAATTATTTATCAAAAATTAGAAGAGAAGTATGTAAAAATATATCTAAAAGATATAGTATTGTTTATTTTTGATTTAATATAATATTATGCAATTTTCAAAAGTAGTTTATTAAGTATATCTATTTATTTAAATAGTCTATATTTACTTAAACATAAGAAAATATTTAGCGAACGTAAGATAAACTTCTTATATTCATTTAGAATAATGAAACAAATAGTATTAATACTACCTTGTATTCTATTATTATATTGAGTTAAAGCTAAATTCTAATATTATATTTTTTTAAGATTATATAAGAAAGTAGGAACTCAATCTTTAAAACTTTTTGAATTTTAATAAAATCAATTGAAAAATAAAAATTTGATAACTATTTATTATATTATAATTAGTAGAAACGAATAAGTGAAGTTCTTTTTAAAAGTCTAGTATTATTTAACATAGACAATAAAATATTATTAAGTAACTAGATATGTCTATAATATAAATAAAAATCTTTTTTAATTAGTTCTTCAATTGTTTAACTTAAATAACTTTAGAAAAAAATTCAAATTAGTTAAAAATAAGATCAAAGACATTAGCAATTTTTTTAAAAATTTTTCAGAATAGTTATTTATCAAAAAAATTAAAGAATTTGATTTTTTTAGTAAAAATTTCTTAAGAGCTCTTGTTTTTATACAAAAAAAATTTCTGAAGCATCATTAGTATCATCAATGTTTATTATAATAGTAACTAGAATAATAACAGAGATTGTTTTACTGGTTAAGGTTTTTCCTTTTCCTTATCTAACAAAGAAGATTAATGTTTATATTTACTAGAATTTTATGATCGTTTTATTAAAAAACTGCATTCCTGTAAAAAATCTACAGTTTATTAGATGTTTTATCATTTGCTTAGTTTTACTATAACTCAGGAGTAACTAAATATGAACAGGTAGTTTATTTCATTATATTTTTATTTTACTTTTTCTTAGATCTGCTTATGTTGTGAAAAGAGTTTTTTAAAAAATATATATATATATAAAATTAAAAAATAAAAATAATATGCTATTTTAAACGATCAGATATAATGTAAATAAATCATATAATTTGTTAATTTACAAGAATATATAAATAAAATAAAAAGCATAAAGCAAAAATTAGGATAAAAGAAAAGAAGAATAAAATATTTTTTTATACATTTTTTATAAAATTCAAAGTGAACTTTATTCTTAATAAAAGTTTTTTAATTTTTTATTAATTATTATAATTAAATATATATTTGAAAAAAAATAAAATTCTGCATAAAAAAAATAATTGTAACATTTTAATTATTTTATAAATTATTACTTTATGTAATTTTAAAAATATAATAAAATTCAAAAAAAAAAATTTTTTTTAAACTTATTCAAAAAATTAATTATAATAAAAAAAGTAATAACTTTTAAATATTTTTATTTGATACTTTTTTTTATAAAGTATAATAATTTTGTAATATATATTTATATTGATATAATATTTAATAAATTATATAAATAAATATTCAAAAAAAATAAAAAATTTAAAAATTAATTTAGTTATAAAAAACTATTAATTAATAAATATTAAATTAATTTAATGAAATTATTTATAAGTAAATTTAGATATATAAAACATTCTTACTTAATGTATAGTAAGCTTTTACTTTAACTAAAGTACTCAAATTATTCTGTGAAGTTAAAAAAGTATAACTCATTTAGTAAAATTACAAAATCAAATATTACTGCATGAATATTAAACTAATCTTAATAAAAAATTAGATGTAAATAGTATTAAACTTACTGAATAATTTTTACTTAAAGATAAAAGATAATTAACTTTGAACAAAATACTCAAATTATCATGTGAAATTAAAAAAAATGCAATAATATTAATAAAGTTACAAAATACATATTACTACATGAATATTAATTTAATATTAATGAAATTTTATATATAAATAATTATAAACCTACTGAATAACTTTTCTTAAAATTAAAGGTGATTAACTTTGACCAAAATATTCAAATTTCCTTGTGAAATCATAAAAATGTAATTTATTTAGTAAAATTATAAAAAAATTATTTTTATATAAATATTTAACTAAAAATTAAATATAAATAGTATCAAACCTGCTGAATAACTTTTACTTAGATATAAAAGGAAATTAACTTTAACTAAAGTACTCAAATTATTCTGTAAAGTTAAAAAAGTATCACAGTATTAATAAAGTTTAAAAATACATATTATTATACAAATATTAATTCATTTTTGATAAAATTTTATATATAAATAGTTTTGAATCTGCTAAATAACTTTACTTAAAAATTAAAAATGATTAACTTTGACTAAAGTGTTTAATTTTCATCATAAAATCTCTATATTAATATTTATAAAAAAAAGATATTAAATATATAAAAATTAAAATCTACAAAAATAAAAAAAATTACATTTAATAAAAATTTATATAAATTTAAGTATTTAAATTTAAAAAATAAGGTTATTTTTTAAAGATTATATTAAATAATATAAAAGTGTTTTTTTTATTAAAAAAAGAATAAAAAAATATAA